GCCCTTGGTACCCGACAAGCATCCCTTAAGAGACTGGGGAATAAGGAGACATTGAGTGCTTGCTTCAAATGCAAGAAAGTAGGACTCTGGGCAAAGGACTGTACCGAAAAGTCCCTGAGCCCCCTGCCGCACATGCAAAGAAGCCGATACTCATCCCTGGGTCTGGAGAGTTGACTGTCCACACTCCCAGAGAGGAGGGAGGCCAGCCGACACCCTAGTAGCCCAGGTCTAGGAACTGTATGACTGAAGAGGCCCAGGGCCATCCTCGCCGCCCCTGTCCGGGAATGTAGTCATCACTACCGAGGGACCCCAGGTGACTCTGGACGTAATGGGTAAGCAAATTCAATTTCTTTTAGATACGGGATCGGCCTATTCTGTTCTCCCTGAATTGGCAGGAAAACCCTCCTCACGAACCACGATCATCATAGGAGTAGAGAAGATCCTCACGAACTATGATCATCATAGGTGTAGGAGAAGGCAAGGTCAACCATTTTGTTCTACCACTGACCTGTCAATTTGAAGATCTGATCTTTCAGCAGCAGTTTTTAATAGTTCCAAGCTGCCCAGCTTCCTTGTTAGGACGGGATATTTTAACTAAATTAGGAGCGACATTACAACTTGGGTGTAGAACTCCGCTGTGTTTTAATGCATCGACCACAAGTTAATCTCATGGCTTGGTATATGGTATAAAAGTTCAGCTTCTATACTCCTTCACCAAGATCCAGACTTATTAGCTGGCCCACTGATAGGAGCGCCTTTCCAGAGATCTCGGTGATCAGAAATTTTCTCCCCCTTCACCCTCAGACTCTGAGGGGGGAAATGAGTTCTCTCGGGACCCCATCTATTTCATCGCTGCCTGAGGAAACTAGATGTGCACCCCCAGGGAAGTTCCAAATACTGATGACGGGGAAATATGAGTATGCGCATGACCTCTGATCTATGTTTGTCTGTGTTCTATGTAATATGGTGGTTCGGTTAAGAATTCTGATTATGATGGAAAGGAAAAGGGTTTGGGTAATAGAAGGTATAAAGTATGGAGATTTATTTTGAAGGGAATCGGAGGAAAGGTGTTGGTCTTCAAGTCGGTTGTTTCTGAATGAGTGGAAAGAGGCAAACTGAAGGAATAAGGAAAATGGTAAAGGATTTCTCTTTCTTGTGAAGAGAAATCCTGAGAGGGAATTTGAGGTGATTAAGCTAAACAAGATTGGAAATTTAAATGCCAAAAGTAAGCTAATGCAAAATTAGAATTGTGTTTTAATGTTCCTTAGACTATTGGTCTGCTACTGATGTCATGGAAAAGTTTTTCGAGGAGAAAACAAGAATTCTGTACTTTAGCGAAATAATTAATGTGTTTTACGTTGCCTCAACCAGTTTTCTGAGACTTTTAGAGAATATACTAATACTGGTCCAAAGTCTGAGGGTCAAACACTCTTGTCTGTACCTTTCAGAACTCGGCCTGCACCCAATATTCAAAGGAAGCTCCGAAAGTTGGGCCTAGACCCAAAACCCACAGATTGCCTTGGTGCCAGAGGTCTTTAAGGTGTCCAATAACTGGGACGGGGCAGAGAAGGAAGCAGAGTACAAAAAGGCGCAGATTTTAGCTGCCGTAATACAGGGACCACCTCAAGGTGACCCTAGGCAATAAAAACCTTGCAGGCCTGGTGGGCTTTGATCTTGGTCGGCCGTGATTGGCATCATCAGGACTGAGGCATCTTGCAAGCTCTAGTCCTAGAAAAATCCACCGCGATCACAACAGTGGAGCGTCAGGTCACCCTAGGCATGGCAGGAAGGAAAAACTGAATTTTTACTAGACACTAGAGCTACCTACTCTGTCCTGACCCATCCCACGGGCCTCTCTCCAATGCCGACTGCACCGCACATAAGTGCAGTTCATTAGAACCAATCATAACCAAGCCCCTGAAACCCCGCTGGAAGTCCGGGGAAGTAATGACACTTGGCATTGGCGTTGACCGGACGGGGCTAAATCCCTATGTTCAAATTCGTATCAGAGGTCAAGTACTAGACCATTCAGCTCGAGCCTTTCAGGTTTATAAGTCCTTCTACAAGGAAGTAACTGAACCCCTACCCCCACCACCATAATCAACTAAAAACTGATTTCTCAAAACGGATGAAGGAATAGCTCACTCCCTGAATGTCACTTCCTGTTATGTATGTGGGGGACTCTGATGGGGGACGGGTGGCCGTGAACTAGTTCAGAACAGCTACAGAACTAGTTCCCACCAAGACAATGCCAAATATAATGGCTCTACGCACCTCTGATGATAGTCAATGGGCTTTCGAGCATACTATTATAGGACAACACTGCCTGGCTGGAGGTGGAGGAAATCTCACGGAGTCAGTCAGAAACTTAACTCGCCTTGGCCTACGGTATTATAATGCTACCTCCAAACAAAGCGTGTGGTGGGAAAGCAGGACAGAGAGAAATCCATTTGGCCAGATTTCCAGAGCTAACTGGAGCCTGGCAGGATCCAGGCAGGGTCCGAGACGGGACAGCCCCACGTGGGCTTGACTGGATTTGTGAAAACAGGGCCTACTTCCGCCTCCCCAGAAACTGGGAAGGGAGCTGTGTAATTGGCATGATAAAGCCATCCTTCCTCCTCTTACCTCTGAAAACAGGGGGACTGCTTGGTCACCCAGCCCCACAACCCTTACAACGGAGTAAAAAGAGAACTCCACATAGAGGACAAGAAGGATGATGAGTGGCCCCCAGAGCGGATAATCCAATACAATGGGCCTGCCACTTGGGCAGAATATACATCTTGGGGATACTGTACTCCCATTTACACATTAAACCGGATTATCCGACTGCAGGCAGACTTCAAAATCATTACCAACGAGACTGGAATTGCAGACTCAGATGAGAAACACCATCTACCAGAACAGGTTGGCACTAGACTATCTGTTAGCAGCAGAAGGAGGCGTGTGTGGAAAATTCAATCTCACCAGCTGTTGCTTGCAGATAGATGACCAGGGCCGGGCAGTTGAGGACCTTGTCGAAAAGGTAACAAAACCGGCACATGCCCCCGTGCAAGTATGGCACAGATGGAACCCCAATAGCCTTTTTGGGGGATGGTTTTCTGCCTTTGGTGTGTTTAAAACCTTAATAGGAGCAGTTATACTACTCCCAGGAATCTGCCTGATAGGGCCATGTCTGCTGCCCCTGCTAATAACAACTTAAAAAGCATGGTGGGAGCCGCAGTACAGCGGCGAGCTGCTGCACACATATACTTTACCCATCACTACCGGGAGATCGCCAGGATGGTTGAGACGGAGAATGGAGGACTCTAGCATAAAAAAAAAAAACAGAATGTCTGGAATCTCAAAGTGGGGAATAAGAGCGGAGAGAAGGCATCTGGAAAATGCTACAGATCTCTCAATGGCCTTCTGGAAAAACTTGCCACACCAAAACAACATGATCTGCAAATAGATAGGACCAGTGGCCTGAGAATTCCTTCCCCCTTGCAGCCCCCACCCGAACTCAGGAAAGACAAGGAAAATTTCTGCTAAACACCAGCAGAAAAGTACATAACATTTACTAAGTGTACTAACCAATGTTTTAACATCTCAGATAATACGGCCTTGAACTGCAGCTCCACTACTGTAAACTATGCAAATGCACATGCTGGATGGTTTCTTATTTATGGAAGAACTTTATTCTTATGTTCCTGCTAACAGTACTGGGAGACTTTGTTCCCTGGGAAGACTAACTGTATTTATGCCTCAAAAGTCTCCAACTAGGCACCCTAGGAAACTCTCTCTTGCAGGAAATGATATGGGACACCTCTTGCAGAGTTCTAAATTTTTTAGTATACCTAGTTAAGTTTCTTTTCCTCTTTTCTTTGGGAAAAAGGCCCTCTCTCCCAAATCCAGATAATGGCCCCGAAACTGGTAACTCAGGTCCTCCGGCTTTCGATAAGGATCATTGGACCATCATGCGGGAATGGCCCTAGGCCAGGCAGGGGCCTTG